ATCATCATCATCATCATCATCATCATCATCATCCACAGGCTAACCAATCTGATAAAAGGAAAATATGAATGTGTATCGTCTTTTGACATTTCTCCTAAACGGCTTCCCATCTTAGTAGCAATTGTCTCCCCGGCTTATAGTGGTTAGCCAATAACATAACAATTTTATGTGAATAAGAATTAAAGGCTTTGCATGAAAACACTAGAGGCAAAAGATAGCAGAAACTGCAAGGCAGGAAACAGCTGTAAAAACAACAACCAGAAGACACCACCAAACTCTCTGTCTGTCTAGATTGAAAATAAATTCAAAATTGGGGGGGGGGGGAGTACAAAACAGTGCAAACAAACGATGTTAAAATTATTTGTGAAACGAAATACCCAAATTTTTATTTTCCAAAAAAATTTACTTTCGACAGCAAATTGCAAAATTCTAATTTTCAGTCGTCTTTGCGCAAAACGAATGGGCTGTAGCCCATGGTTTTAAAGTATTTCCTACATTTTGAAAAACGCTGGACAGCACTTGTCTATCTGAGACGGATGAACCTCTTGAAGACATCAACACGGAAATAGTATAACATGTCTAAGACCAATATCTCGATAAACCATACCCTATCCAGCAGAACATCACCATATAGACTATATATGAAGTGTCCCCTCTCACGTCTGTCAGACTTGAAACATACTCTCTTCACCTGTTCCCACCATTCCCGAAGGCTTCCCGAGGGTGCTCCACGCTCCTTCTACTTGCTGTTCCGTGATGCAGGGTTTTAAGTGTAATACTCAAAACACGGAAAGAGAGAGCAGCCTTAGATTTTCGCAAAATCATAAGCTTGCTCCAAGTCGACCTCTATTGTCTCCCGCGTGAGCTAATACTCGGTCCATGATTTTTTTATTAATTGTAATCATTTCTTTACAATATTAACCAATATATATATTTTGATACTGCGGTTGAACTGCGCTCCCAAATTCATGAGTTTAACCGCGAGGGTCTGAGGTGAGGATAGTTCCCAGTCCTCCTCATTCATTACAAGTTGTTAATAAAAGTTCAACAGGATTTTTTCGAAGGGATTCCAAACACACCCGTCCCGTACGTTGTGAGTCAGTGCTTACTGAAAGTTGTAAAGTCCTTGTAACCAGATGTTACTGACCTTTGTAAAAAGCGATAAAGCTAGCGCCCAACCTCTTCTGGGTTTGCCGAATGGAACGCCTG